AAACATAGAACAGTAAATAAAGAAGTAAAGCAAACAATTATCTCTTCTAGTTACGATCTTTATACTCGACTGTTGCTTGATGTATATTGCTAAGACTTTAAAAATTTTGCATGTGGAAGATATGATCTGATTGGTCAAAGAAGTGAGAAATGGTGATCAGATGAATCAGCGAAAAGGATTTATCCCCTTCCCTGGCTGCAAGTGTCTTAGGGACACTTACATCCTCAGAACTGGTCTGAGGATGTAGGTAGAATGATAAAGTGTCCTGTGCACAATCAGTGCAAACAACTCCAACTGGCAATGTCTGTAGGCCAGTAGCAACAAAAAATTAACCTTCAGGGAAAGGTGATACATGTCACATGAGGCTTAGGTCTCAAATGGGTGTTGAGAAAAGGGCATGTAATGGCACTTTAATATACCAGTTAGGTAACTGGAATGTTTGTTTGGGACAAAGGACCCAAAACAACTTGAGGGAGCTGCAGAGTACTGAGGGCTCAGAATTTTTATCTCTAGAGTCAAACGGTAGTCAACAAGGCCGCCTTATACAGGGAGATTGTGGAAGACACAAAAACCCTTTCTAAAGGAGCCAGGTCAAAAAACGAGTTATGGTTGGCACTTCTGATGAAAGTGGGTTCAACCTCCTTTCAATACACCATTGCCGATATGTGTGCCATTTTCGTTAATAAACGTCCACCACAGGACTAAGCAAAGACTGAGACAGATACAAGGCAACCTTAGAAATTAAACCCCAACACTGTGTGAAGGACTGCATAACCTACATGCCTGAAGCTTGAGCTTCTGGATAGCTGGGTGTACCATGTCAGATCATACCTGCCTCCACAGAGATGACCGAAGTGGAAGAGATGGGCATTCCTGAAGATTCCACAGAAGAAGAAACCAGGGTGTAGCTGCCAATCCAGTGCTATTGACAGGACCCAACCATGGGTTGAAATGAAGCATAGTTAGTACCTTGGGTAACATACAAATTGGAGGGAGGACCTATAGTTTTAATTCCATCCTGCCCTGATGGAATGCATCTATTTCCAAATTGCCAGTAGTTGGGTGTTCCAATGTGTGGCCATCCCATCAATTATTAGTGTTTCAAAATGAGAGCCAATCCAACAGAAAACCTCATGATACAGCATCTATTCTGTTGGGAGAAACTGTTTGGGTCAAGACAATTGATCTGCCACCAAAATCATCACCTGTGGAACATGGCAAGCTAGTAGGGTGATAGGATAGAAGTGATCCCAAGAAAGAAGATCCATGGACCAAATGTCCCCTTGACGGGAAATGCAAGACACCATCGTAGAATTGTTTGACTGAAGCTTGATCATTTTCCCCTTAACCCTTTCAAGACAACCACAGGAGAAAGGCCATGTCATCTCTTTGTTGACATACATTCAAAATTGTATTGAACTACTATTTGATGAATTTATGTCAATATATTTGGTATCAAACTGTAGATTATAATACAAATTTTAGTACTATACATTACTCAGTTTCTTAATTTAAAAGTAAATATTAACAAACACAGATAAACATTGATTTTCGTGTGTCACGTGGTATGTTAAATGCAGCACTGGTTCAAATTAGATGCTTGTGAAGTCAAAATACTAGGTCTATAGTTTTGATCGAATTAGAAACTCAAATTACCAATATTGACAAGCTAGAACATAAAATAAAAGCCTCTTATCTTTTCAATTTGCTAAGGTATTGCTCATGTAATAAATAAAACACAGTGGCACCCATCCACATTTTTCAATTTTTGGAAACGGTCCCTTATATACACTTACTTCTATATACATGACATGAATAACCAATTGGAAGCTCAGAATGTCCCCTAGTGGCTTTCTCAGACATTTTAACGGACTTGGCGTCATTTTTTCTTTTGAACCAAGATTTCAACGATGATATTTTGTGCATGAAATCATTGTAATGCTTAGTGATATTCTGACAAATTTCGTTAACATTCGCTTACCAATTAAAAAGTTATAGTATGAAAACTATAACAAGCACAAAATGGTAATGGGGTCAGTCTGAGAATGTGGGTAGAATGATAAAGCATCCTGTGGACAGAGTGAAGAATGATGATTTTACCCTTAATAAGCCCAGACCATGAGGCATTGCCTTTTCAAGAGCAACAAGGCCTAAAACGGTGTGTAGGGAAGCCTCATTGTCCGTGTGTAGACCCTGGAATTCCTGACTGTTGAGATATGCACCCCATCCCTGAAGCGAGGCATTTGAGGACAGATGGATCTTCGGATGAGGTGGTGGCAGAGGAAACCACATCTTAGTGTTCTCCCGATCCAACAACCTCTCAAGATAAATCCAATGAATTGATTTTTATGATTCATTGGTTGCATAAAGACCATTGAAGGGATCTCTTGTGTGCTCATCCAAATGCATGAGGGATTCAACTGATGCCTACATTCCCAAAAGAGAAAGAACCATCAGCACATTGCGTGGAGCCGAATGGGAGTCAGCTGAGCCCGACTGATACGTGATGAAAAAAATACCCAGATTGACAACATATTGTGTTGGAGCAAGAATAGATGACTCTACTCCGATAATGAAACTTGTCTTGGTTGTTTCTGAAAGTAGAATATGGGTGTGATGTTCTGACAATTGACAAGATGGTGCCAGCAGTAACCAGTTGTACATGGAATGGTGTGCACAGGGTTAGGGAATGGAAGTGATGAGAAAAAGCTCATATGATTCGACAGAACCCATGTGGTGCCAATGTTAGTCTGTAGGTAAAAATCCTGAACTACAGTACCTGACCCTTTTGCAGGAAATTACGCCGATAGTGGTGGGAGGCCACCACTATGGGAATGGTCAGATAGGAACTGACGACATCGAACTTGGACTTCCACAATCCTAGTAAAAAATGACAACTCAGAGTGAGGAATGAGTCGCTTGTGACCCTTGGAGAATTTAGGAATTGATAAAGATGAGAAACATCGATGACTGGACACCAATCTCCTGTCTTCTAGGGCCCAACAAATGGACGAGAATAAAACCCCAGAAGAACTGCTACAACTCTATCTCTCCCTACTTCCAGACCAACCAAAATCTGATAGTTCTAGAACTAATTTCCAAAATCTGAGAATCTGTGGGTGACAGAAATCCTACAGGTTGGGTGGATAATGGTGGTGAAGATGTGAAGTGAATGACCAATTCTGACTCAAAAACCTGTAGTGCCCATGAATCTGTGGTTAAGTTTATCACACGTCCAGAAATTCTCAGGGCCGAGTCTCCACAGACCCTGAAGGCATACAATAGTCACCGACGATACTGGTGGCATTCCGACCAAGCAGCAGAACCCTAAAATGTTGGATTTTAGAGTTGTAAGTCCATAGACTTACCACTGTCCCACTGGGGACATTGACCTATTCAGGTTAACTACAAACTCTGCTCTAGAACCCCAATTTTTCAGGATCAGATGTATTCTTTGAGAGTCAAATAGGCTTCCACCTTGAGGTGGTAGGCTAAATCACGTAGTTCCAACAACCGTGGCAGACAAAGGATAGCTGTCCCTTGCATGAACCACAATGACAGTGGATGAAGGGAAGACTAAGTATTCATTCCCAGCCCTTTCAGCCATCAAGTAAGGTGTAGGCTCAAAAGCAACTTGGAAAAGACCCAGAACATCACAAACTCGATGGACCAACTGAAGAAAAGGAGCCTGAGGCAGCTTATCCCAAGGTGGCCTCCTGAGACGCCAAAAGAATAAAAGAACGCACAGGAAAAATGCAAATCTAAATTCTCCCCAGAACATTCAGGATCGCTCTCAATTGCAGCCTCAGAACCCCCCGAAGGAACACCACCTAACCCAATTAAATGTTTCTACCTTACTGTGAATAAGTTTACTGGTAGTTTCAACTGAGAGTGACCCCCACCATTTTGTTGAGCAATGCTAGATATCAGAGGTGGGATAAGAGAGACCTGATTTGCCTCCGTGCCGGAAATAATAATGCGGAAATTCATACTGTATATCGGCTTACAAAATGAATTTTTGTTTTTATGAAAATCAACTAGGTAACACAAAGAATGCTCAAAGTATCTCCATCAATGATATCACAGAGAAAACCGTTAGTGAATGCTCATATGATGGCCATAATTTTACACTCTTGCTTGATACCACAACTTTCATTGTAACAATCTCCTGAGAAGGAGAATGAATTCAACCTTAGACCACACATCTTGAGAAACTTTCCATAGTCCCTCCCACTTGATGTGGTCATTAACTTCCAAGACCATGTTTAACCAGATTTATGACACAAACATTTCACTGGTAAACATGTCCTGTATACCATCAAATTAAATTATTGTGTATCCATTTTCTTCTGAGATCCTTCTAATTAACACAGCTATTGATTTCTAAATTTGGCTGCAAGCTTGTGAACTTATCGCTTCTGACTCATCGTTAACTTTAAATCATTGTTTATCATCTTGTAAACAAAATCAGGAGATATAAACCAGTTTTGTCACAGTGGCATTCTGTGTCAGATAGTTCATTCTCATAATCATACATTCACTTTGCAGATGAGGGCATTGCTCCAGATGGTTTGAGGTGTAGTTCTAGGTGTTCTGCTGTACGAGTTTCTCAGCTTCCAAGGAGAAAGGCTCATTTCTTTGGAATGTTGTACCCTTTGTTTCTCCATAATTATACAAATCTCATTGTCTCATTATACAAATGTCCTCCTTTACGTGAGAGTGTTGCATATTATTACAGCCTCAAAAATATCTGTGGCAGCACTGTACTGAAAAACGGTCATGAATACAACACAAGCCAAATGTATAGGTGCTAAATGTGTCATTCATGGTGTCTTGGTTTAACCTGTCATAATACACCACTGCATTAACATTGAAAATTTCTTGTAAAGTACAATTAACCCTGTATAATAGTGTTTCCAGTAGAAAGTACAGGTATTCCAAAAACCATCCACTTCATACAGAATTATCAATTAATGTAACAGAACTATATCATTTCTTTAAATGGAATGTGCCTACAAATTTCATATGAAGCTAAATAATAAATTTTAGCATTTAATATTAATAAGTATTAAATCTTACACTACTTTTTCTATAATTACTTAAACTACAGTAACTATATTGGGATGAGGAATCAAATAGTAATATGGATAAAACCTTTAAAAACTATATATACCAGAAATATGTGAAGAAATGTTGGATCCATAGCGGCAAAGTTCCCGTAATGCAGCAACTCCTCTTTCTAACCAAATATACAGCTGATAACGCAGCTGACCACCATCCACTTCAAATCCAGTTGCTAATGTGCTTAATTCTTCCATCATAATCTAGAAAAAAAATTAGTTGTTAATGTTAAAAATGATCTAATATTACATTTCAAAAAATTGTAAGTCATTTTCAAAAAAAAAAAGATCAATTTTATTAGTGAAGAGATATTTTTGTATAAAACTACAGCTATTTAGTGACAAAACACTTAACCTTTAATTTTTTCTCTTACTATCCTAAAGATATATCAAAGACAAGACAAGGATCATACTGTGAATAACATTAGAATCTGGGTATCATCTTAGCATAAGTGACATTCTTGAGTTGATCATTATATCAATCTTAAACTAAGAAGGTTATGCAAAATGAAGATAAAGGTTGGAGCATGATACAGAAATTTTCTGAACCCTAGTTTATTTGCATTATAGTAAAACTTAAAAACAATTTAAACTGCAAGTGTTAGAGATAACAGGTCACATGAGAAATAAGAACACACTTGCTATATTTGGCAAGTTGCTAAAACAAGTCTACCTTTTCTTAATTTGAAAAAAAAGATCTATGAGTACAAACTATCAATAACTATAGATACTAAGATAAATAAGGCAGAAGAATGAAGTTTTTTCACTAAAAATCAAAGAGTTAATACACCATGTGCTTCAGAAGACACTTCCACTGTTCAGATGACAAAGTTCAGGAAACTAATGTACACAATGATGTGAGACCTGTTGTACATACCAGCTTAGCATGCAGAAGTCAACATACAGAGTGATTGGAGATGATGACTATAACTGATGATAAACATAAAAAACAGCTATTATAAGAATTTGACAACTATAAATAACATGTAGTGTGACCATGATGTCGTTATAATACATTACATGATTGTGTGCATTGTCTTCTGCACAGTAAAGTTGGTCTATGTTGTTGTTGTTGTTTGGTGTTTTATGGCGCAAAGCAACAAGGCTATCTGTGCCCAACAACCAGTAAAAACAGTGAACGTAAATTAAAGTAAAATGTAAAAATACAGTGAGTTAAAATCAATATATGTTGATAAAAGATTTACATACAATTAAAAAGACCTATAGTACGTAAAAAATTAAAAATACAATCTAACTGGACAATGTCACCATTACCAGTGACAGTGTCCAACAACAGAGGTAAACTCTTAGAAAATATGTGTTTGAAATAATGCCGCCACTCACGATCGTAATGACGGCAGCACAGTAAAATGCGGGCTATTGTGACTTGAGTGTCACAATGGCAACACATCGGTGAGTCAATACCTGATAAAAGAAAACGATGGGTTAAAAAACTGTGACCAATGAGTAGCCTTGCCAGGACTACTTCCTCCTTCCGATCTTTATGGAAGCAAGACGGCCAAAGACCAACAGTAGGCTTGATCTGGAAAAGCTTGTTATGACATTGCTCAACCCAAATCGACTGCCAACAGGCGCGAAGCCGTGCCTTAAAGACAGGACCGCAGTCCATGTATGGGACAGGCATGGCCGTGATGGCACCAGAGCAGACGGACTTAGCTGCAGTGTCAGCAAGCTCATTCCCGTGAATACTGACATAGCCAGGGATCCAGAAAAACTGGATGGAAACAGAAGACAGAGAAAAGTGGGCCAATCGGTGTTGAATATTGATGAGAACAGGGTGAGAACTAATGTTAAGCGATTCCAGGGCCAGTAGAGAGCTAAGAGAATCAGTGTAAATAGTACAATTACTGTACTGGATAGCTTCTACATGATCCAGGGCAAGAGAAATAACATACAACTTGGCAGTGAACACAGAAACTGTAGAGGGGATCCTGCGAGCAACTACCGAGCCATAGCACACCATGGCAGAACTTACAGAGTTACCCAATTTCGAACTATCCGTATAAATAGGAAGAGAAGAATGGCTCGAAAGATGCTTAGCAAAAAGAAGATGATACTTCCAATCATAAGTATCTGCCTTCCTCAGATGACTCAGAGAAAGGTCTCAGGTAGGGATGGTAATAAGGCAAGGTGGAATGGGCTGATCATTAGGGACAGCAATATCACCCAATGCCAGACCCAATTCAGCCAGTTGCGCCTGGATACGAAGGCCAATGGAAGGAATAGCAGACTGTCTTTTCCAAAAGAACATGGCACATTGTGGGAGAAAGACACAATCCCAGGTGGGATGCCGTGGTAAGAATCGAAGCTTGGCAGCATATTGTAAAGAAAGTAGCAAATGACGGACGTGAAGAGGAGGTTCGTGGGACTCGGTGTACAAACTCTGGACTGGAGAAGTGTGGAAAGCCCCAGATGGTGAATGGGGTCCAGCATCTTCAAGGCCAAGGTCCTGGCAGAACCATAGTCCAGTTTGGATCGAATCAGTGCACAATAGATCCTGAGCATAGAACATCAATCCGCACTCCAAGAGGTGGAAGAGAGGACAAAGAGGATGTTCAAAGCCTTTGCACACTTGACACGCAGCTGCTTGATGTGCAGAATGAAGCTAAGCTTACAGTCAAAGATAAACCCAAGAATAACTACGTTGCTGAGACGGAGCTCAAGATCGGCAAGTTTGAGTCCCACCAGTGTAAAGGGGCGATTATAATAACAGAGACGATCAACCCGAAAGGAAAGAGGCGAACACTCTGCCTGAGACTTGTTGGCCAAAAAGGCAGGGAAAGAAACAGAAGTGCTAGAAGCACGAGAAAAGCTGTGGCCAAGAGCATCAGCAATGCTCTGGACATCAGCAACTTCCTGGCCATTGGATAGCAAGATGGAAAGGGGATGGGAAGCATACCTTCCAGAAACTTTCTGAATCTTGTACCATACAGTTTTGGAACTGGTGGTAGAAGAGATGCTAGTAGTGAATTTAATCCAAGATTCCTTTTGGCACTGAAGTTGAACCTGCCAAGCATGGGCACAGGCCTGCTAATAAACAATGAGGTTAGAAAGAGAGGGATATCATCGGATGGTATCCCAGGCCTGTTTTTGAGCCTTCTGTGCCCTCTGGCACGCAGGACTCCACCATGGTTGAGGATACCATGGAAAACGTGTTGAGGTCTTAGGAATAAAACGAGCTGCCACCTGGACAATACAGTCAGTTACTGCAAACACACAGTC